GGGGAGGGGGCGGCCAGACCTGGGTCCATCTAACCGCGGTCGCATCACTAAGATGCGCAGCGGACCAGGCCTGCTCCCCGGGTCATCTGGGACCTGGGCACCCGCAAAATAACTGGCCTCCGCGAGCCTCTCTGGGGCTCCCGAAAGAAATCCTGTTTAGCTTCCTCTGCCTATGCAGCTCCCCTCTCAACTGAAACCACTGGTCCAAGACAGCCACAATCCAGATATACTAGCAAGTCATAAAACTGAACAAAAGCCGACAAACCTTAAGGCACCAGGGCTATAGGGCCCAGACAAATTACGACCGTCTAGGTAATATTTAAATAGATGCCTAAAGTAATTGCAGGGGGCTCAGGCTAGTACTCCTGTTGTAAAAGTGGTGGATGGAATAAAGTGGAAGGTGAAGATAAGAAGTAAAAAAAAAAAAAAAAGAGGTAAAATTAAAAAGCTTCATTCCACAGCTTTTATTCTATAAGAACATAAACATCGTCTTTTTTTCCACGCACAGCAGCAATACAATATTAATTTATTCTGATTTAAGATTAGAAGTAAATAGAGCTAGAACTAACATTTATAATAATGATAGAATGCATTTGCTTAAAACATGATTGGCAATTTTTCATAATAATAGACATTTATACAGATTTGTATTTATAGTTTTTTTTCTTTTTTCTGCACCTACAGGTTTGACCCTTTTATGCATGTAACTTCACAGTATAAAGGAAATCCAAACAATGTCTCCCTTCTCTAGTTTATTCTGCTTGCCTCAGCCCTCCTAGGCTTCCGTGAATTTCAGAAAGCCATGCACACACAAAAAGATGTAAAAAAAAATGTAAAATAATAATAATAATAATAAACCTCCACAAGACAGGGAGAATTGTGGTGTGCTTTTCGGGTGTTACCAGTGGTAACGATTTTAATGACAAAAAAATCCACTAATTCCACATGTATAAACAAAACTACATTATTCTCAACAGCCAGAAGAAAATGGAAATTCAGAGGTAAATGAAACATTTTAGTCAGGCAATGCAAGACCTTACACAATCTAGAAGAGAAGTTTCCTTCTCTTGGTCACTTTTTTTTTTTTTCTTTTAAAGCTGGGATATCTTACAGAGGAAGGAAAAAATAATCATTCTCTTTCTGCTTTTTCAATCAGCCAAAGCCAAGCTCTATTGCCAACCTGCATGTCTATGCCTGTATGCCCTTCTCTTGGCCAAGGAAGAAAGGAAGAAGAAAAAAGAAACACAGGGGCCTGAATCCCCTGATTAAACACAGCCCAGCAGCCCTCCAGGCAAGCGGACCCAGTGGCGGCTCCTTGCACCATTGACCTCAGGCCGGGCACCTTAGGACCGACAGTGGGACCTCGGTCTTCTGGCTAGGTTGTCTGAGGTGGGCAGAAAAATAGCTCTAAGGATGGAAGGAGGAGGATAGGGGTTATTTCAAGCATTGAGACCCCTAGACAGCAAACCAAGCCCAGTCAGGATTTGACACTTAGGACAATATCTATTTCAATAGAATTTAGCGCGATATGGCTTTTTCCCCCTGAAAACAAGTAAACCAGCACCAAGCAAACAAAGAAACAAAAAGTCAAGAACAAACCAGCCCTGCACAGATGTAACGGCCCGGGAGATGGCGAGTGTGGAAGGGTAGAATGGGGCTCCGACACAGGTGCGAGTTCTGGGGATGAGGCTGAAGACAGAGGGAGGGGACGGGCGCTCTGGCAGCGGGGGGGGGGAAAAAAAAACCCAGCATCGCCTGGAGCTTCATCAGGAAAAATTAAAGTTGGCTGTGAGCTCCCGGATCCGATTTTCTCGGTTCATTTTCTTCAGTTTCATCCTGCGGTTCTGAAACCAGATTTTCACTTGTCTGTCCGTGAGGTGGACGCTGCGGCTGATCTCTAGGCGCCGCTCTCGAGTAAGGTACATGTTGAATAGAAACTCTTTCTCCAGCTCCAGCGTCTGGTGCTTGGTGTACGGGCAGCGCTTCTTCCGGCCGCTCTTTGCAGTGAGCCAGTTGGCTGCGTTTTCGCCTTTGGAATTGCCTGGCGTTTAAGAGAATACAGAGGGGAAGGTTAAGTCGAGGCCACGCGGGCTGCACGCGGGGGTGAATTCCAGACGTCTTTCCCATAAGAGGGATGCCCCAAGTCACAGAGAGAAGGGTTATGCCCCTGTTTGGCTTGCGGAGAACAAGCAGTTCCTCCAAAAGTCATGGCAAATTGAATGGGCCTTCAATCTACACCCACCCCTCAAATTTACATTTTCTTCCACTTTCCCCCCAAACACCTGTTTCAGCACAAAGCTGCCAGGGTACTTGTAGAATGAAAGGCCTGGGAGGGCAGGCTGCACATCTTGAACTTAACGCCATTCTTTTCATCTCCTCTATGGCAGACAAGTATTTCCTGAAGCCTCCAGGTTGGGGGAAAGGACTGCTTTCTTTGATGGGGGACCCGCAGCGGATTGTTTTACTACAGCCCCCCCTGATTGCTCATGATGAAGAGGAGAAGGGCATAGTTGGGCCAATGGGGAAGGCAAGAAAAACTGATTCTGGGGTCAAGGGCCCTCCCTTGCATCTCTGCAAGAGCCAGGGGTATGCAGCTGGGCGATTCCGAGTTCCAGGGAAAATGAAATAGCCCCTCTCTAGTTTTCTGCTCTGGGCCCCGGCGTCCAGGCCGGATTTGTCTTTTCTTTTCTGGCAACAGGGATTCCCGCCCCTCCTGCAACTTTGAAAAAGGCATGGGGGATCGTAAACTCGAACTTCGCCGGTTAATGGGCTTATTTATTGGCGCTGGCGGCTGCTTATTTTGGATGCCTTACAAACATCCGCACTATCTGCGGGCGAGCCACTTTCCCTCCCTCCTCCTCCCCCCGCGTGGGCCGCGCCGTGCAGGCTGGGCCCGGACCAGGGGTTGGGGTGCTCCGGGCCACAGGGAAGATCATGCACAGGAGGGGGGCTGCTCGCTGGTGTCGTCGCCTCCAGTCAGGGTGAGCCGGGGCCAGCGCTGAGAATGTCTTGGTGTGGGCCTCTAAGCTGGACATGAATTTTTACTGCATCCCCACGCCCAAATATTAAAAAGCGAGTTCACAAGGTCAGCCTGCTTGCAGCTTGGGCCAAGGCTGGCCGGCTGCTGCGCGGACTCCTGGTTCTCTGCTCCTTCCTTTTCTTGGGTCTGCCTGTCTACCCTCCTGACTGCAGCCCTCTGGCGCGCCCTGCTTACCCAGGGAGTCCTTCTCGGGCGAGGCTTTGCTGCTCTCGGAAGGGGCCGGGGAGAGCTCCTCCGCGGCGGAGGATGACGCGTGCGCCTCCTCG